CTCTCCCAGATTAGAGCCATTTTATAGTAGATAAGAGATCATTCTTGTGGAGATCATGACATATCCTCAAGGCTTCTTTATCGCAGCTTAGAGATTATCTTTGGTGGAGATCGCGACTTATCCTCCACGGAAGGAAGAGGTTGGGGAGCTCTTCATGAAACGTGGTCAATGATTGGACCGTTTTCTTCCTTCGGTGGTTGCAGATAAACTTCTCGTGCTCTCCTCTTGGTGACGTGCTAAGCGAGAAGTCTAGCCGGCCTTGGGCTCCTTAAGGCGGTGCAGATAAACTTCCCATGCTCTCCTCTTGGTGACGTGCTAAGCAAGAAGTCTAGCCAGCCTTGGGCTCCTTAAGGAGGTGCAGATAAACTTCCCGTGCTTTCCTCTTGGTGACGTGCTAAGCAAGAAGTCTAGCCAGCCTTGGGTTCCTTAAGGCGGTGCAGATAAACTTCCCGTGCTTTCCTCTTGGTGACGTGCTAAGCAAGAAGTCTAACCGGCCTTGGGCTCCTTTGGCTTGGTGGATTCACGATGAGGTTGGGCTCCTCAACCGGGGTTGGGCTTTAATACATAAATTGGACTACTTGGGCTTAACCCATCAGAACGAATGGATAGATTGGAAAGATAGATCTGGATTGAGAAAGGAAGAGAAAATTAATAATATTTGAAATAGAGAACAAATTAGCGAAGAAAAATCACAGTACCTAATTGGTGTTTGAGCCGCGGAGTGTAGCAATGAACAGAAAAGAGGGATCAGTATAAAGATGAGCACCCGCTGCAACTCTGGGTTTTGCGATCTGGTTAGGTCAATTAGATTGCGCTAGGTGCGTACTATACGAAACCGATTAATGGAGGGAGAGAGATACCTGGAAGGCGGGTGGGTGGCGTTGTCGCTGGGGCGATGGTGGAGTCGGTGGAGATGGCTTAAGAGAGAGAGAGAGCGAGAGGGAGGGGATAGAGAGAATCGACATACTGCTACAAATTAGATGGTAGAATTCATCTATTGAGTCTAATGTTATCTCATAATTTATTTGGGATTGTACATAAAGCCGTAGTTGTAGTAATTAAGGAATGTTGTATGCATGAACATCATGTTTTGAAGTTGATGGGTGCACTTGACGATCTGCACAAGATTTAGTTTATAGGAGAATGGTAGATGATGGGTTTGCTCTTGGTGTTATTGATTAACAAATTGTAATAAATGCTTTATGCAAGAATGGGTTTGTACATGCTGCTGAAATGTTCTTTTCAAGAGTTTTGAAACTTGGGTTTTGGTTGGATACTCATACTTGTACCTCTTTGGTGTTGGGTAATTGCGGGGTAGGTGATCTCAATGAGGATGGTTGTGGTGTCAAAGGAAGATATGAATGAAAAGGGTTGCCACCCAAGTACTCATACCTACACCGTCCTAATTAAAGTTGTTTGTGATGTAAGATCCACTGATACGGCTTTTGGTTTTCTTGATGAGATGGTCAAGACTCAAGAAGGGATGTAAACCAACAAGAAGGGATGTAAACCAAATATTCACAGTTATACAGTATTGATAGATAGGCTATGTAGAGAAGGTAGGATTGGGGAGGCAAATGGAATGTTCAGAAAAATGTTAGATGATGGATTGGTTCCTGGCACAACAACTTATAAGGCACNTGCAACTCTGGGTTTTGCGATCTGGTTAGGTCAATTAGATTGCGCTAGGTGCGTACTATACGAAACCGATTAATGGAGGGAGAGAGATACCTGGAAGGCGGGTGGGTGGCGTTGTCGCTGGGGCGATGGTGGAGTCGGTGGAGATGGCTTAAGAGAGAGAGAGAGCGAGAGGGAGGGGATAGAGAGAATCGACATACTGCTACAAATTAGATGGTAGAATTCATCTATTGAGTCTAATGTTATCTCATAATTTATTTGGGATTGTACATAAAGCCGTAGTTGTAGTAATTAAGGAATGTTGTATGCATGAACATCATGTTTTGAAGTTGATGGGTGCACTTGACGATCTGCACAAGATTTAGTTTATAGGAGAATGGTAGATGATGGGTTTGCTCTTGGTGTTATTGATTAACAAATTGTAATAAATGCTTTATGCAAGAATGGGTTTGTACATGCTGCTGAAATGTTCTTTTCAAGAGTTTTGAAACTTGGGTTTTGGTTGGATACTCATACTTGTACCTCTTTGGTGTTGGGTAATTGCGGGGTAGGTGATCTCAATGAGGATGGTTGTGGTGTCAAAGGAAGATATGAATGAAAAGGGTTGCCACCCAAGTACTCATACCTACACCGTCCTAATTAAAGTTGTTTGTGATGTAAGATCCACTGATACGGCTTTTGGTTTTCTTGATGAGATGGTCAAGACTCAAGAAGGGATGTAAACCAACAAGAAGGGATGTAAACCAAATATTCACAGTTATACAGTATTGATAGATAGGCTATGTAGAGAAGGTAGGATTGGGGAGGCAAATGGAATGTTCAGAAAAATGTTAGATGATGGATTGGTTCTTGGCACAACAACTTATAAGGCGCAGATTAATAGTTACTACAATGAAGGTAAAGTAGTTTCTGCTTTTGAGCTTCTTGGCGTGATGGAAAAGAGGAATTGCAAGCCCAATATCCATACCTTCAATGAGCTTATAGAAGGGTTATGTAAAGCCAATAAACCTCACAAAGCAATGGAACTTTTGAGAAGGATAGTTGACAATGGGTTATGGCCTGATGAAGTAACCTACAATATTCTGGTTGATGGGTTTAGCAGGGCAAGCCAACTTGCTATGGCTTTCAGAGTATTTAATTCAATGAACTCCATTGGCCTTGAGCCTGATGGTTTTACTTGCACTACATTAATTGAAGGGCTCTGTAAAGAAGGGAGACCAAAGCAAGCAGAAGGGATCTTGGGTTTGATGGTGAAGAAGGGAATATTCCCAGATGAAGTAACATTTACAGCTCTTATTGTTGGATATTGCAAGACAAGTAAAACTGCAAATCCCTGGATGCTTTTGAGAGAATGGTCAAGAACAGGTGTTTGACTACACCTCATGCATTCAACTCATGTCTTGATGTTCTCAGCAAAGAAATTAAGGTGAATGAACAAAATACAATGTTTGGAAAGATGCTAAAGTATGGCCTAATTCCTTCTGTGGTAACTTATGCCATATTGATTGATGGGCTTTGCCGAGCAGGTGATACTACCCACTCCTTGAAAGTTTTAGATCTTACGAAGTAGGCGAACTGTCTCCCAAAGGTATATACATACGCTGTTGCAATCAATGGCCTCTGCCAGTGGTAGAGTGGAGGAAGCAGAGAATCTTCTGTATAAGATGTCCAATTCAGGAGTCTCTCCAAATGACATCACTATACTGTATTATTGAAAGTGCATGTCAAAGCTGGTCACTACTTGCCGGATTTGAGTTCTATCAAGCTATGAAGATTGGATAGTTGCATGGGAGCTTGCTTTGGTCAGAGTAATAAATTAAAACACTACACATCTACTGAAGTTCTTACAACAAACATTTACAAAAACATATGCAACAAATACAAACAATGGCACATTAGATTTCATTTTTAAAAAAAAAAAAGAAGACAAAGAATAAATACAATAATAAGTTTCTTAACATATCAGACGAAGAGAGCACACCAACAGTTCTGAGTGACCTAGAACATAAATCGTCGCAAATTCACATAAAAACAGCCCCATAATTATAGCAAAAAATGAAAAATTCATACACATAAATTATATATATATATATATATATACCCTAGTTCTCAAATCGAACGAATGGATAGATTGGAATGATAGATCTGGATTGAGAAAGGAAGAGAAAATTAATAATATTTGAAATAGAGAACAAATTAGCGAAGAAAAATCACAGTACCTAATTGGTGTTTGAGCCGCGGAGTGTAGCAATGAACAGAAAAGAGGGATCAGTATAAAGATGAGCACCCGCTGCAACTCTGGGTTTTGCGATCTGGTTAGGTCAATTAGATTGCGCTAGGTGCGTACGATACGAAACCGATTAATGGAGGGAGAGAGGGAGGGAGGGAGGGAGAGAGATACCTGGAAGGCGGGTGGGTGGCGGTGTCGCTGGGGCGATGGTGGAGTCGGTGGAGATGGCTTAAGAGAGAGAGAGAGCGAGAGGGAGGGGATAGAGAGAAGGCGTGAATTAATCACAAAAATGCAGCAATTTTTAAACAAAATTACGAGGACACTTTAAAACTTATTTATCAAAAATATTTTTTAAAAATAGGTTCAATAATTCGGCTTAGATTCAATAACTCTCCTTTTAATCCTTATTTTTTAAAAAAAAAATTGGACACGGATGAAACCGTGTTTATTAAACATGCTTTATTATGTACCAAAAAAAAAAATGCTTTATTTGCTCTTTCTGAAAAGTGTGTTTATTAAACACGTTTTTCACACAAAATTGGACAACTAATACTTAAATCACTACAGGTCTTTCACAGTTGTTTCTACTTATGCTTTTCTCTCTCCACTTTGTTCTTCTCTCTTTTCAGTTCTTGAAGATGCCTAGGCCAGCCCGAGACCCTATGAGTGTGTTAGAAGAGCTTGGCCCAATGATAGACACCAACCCATGTGATTAATTCCAAATGCTTTAGACTACCGTTGGTCTCCCTCACTTACAATACTCTGTGCCACCTTCTACCACCACAACCATCCGACCGTGGAAGGTGGAAGGTGGCGCATGGCAGACAATCGGCCCTAGTTCTGTGAGGACAGATCAAAGAGGGGATGGATCAAGGACTGAGTTGCAGGGAAACCAATGAGCATGGTTTATTCATCGCAGTCCAGAATGGACAGTAGGAAATTGTTGAAGCTATGCTAGAGAATGAGCCAGAGTTGGGGTGGAGAACTGTTCGTGGGAAGCTCTCTGCCCTCCTCATGGCAGTTGCACATGGTTGGATCGAGGAGGGGTGTTGTGTTTGATCTTCGTCAATTTTTGATATTTCTGTTTTCTGGGCATTGTTTTTTTGGGATTTTGTTTAATGGGTTTTTCTGAATTTCGCATTTGGTTCTTGATTTCGATGATGGGTAAGTTCTTTCAATGCCTTTGGATTGGTCTATCAATCTAGTTATCTTGAACCGTCATAAACAACCAATATGTATATTTATGTTCGCATGTCTGATCAATGTTTTTGCTTTTGTATTTGAGTGGATATTCTGTGTGTTGTACGTTGGATTTGTTTTGTGATTGGATTAGACGCCAATGAACGGGAAGATTGTCTGCGTAGAAAGCGTGTTTATTAAGCACGCTTTCATCAGTACCCAATTTTTTTTTTTTTTTCGAAAAGAGGTCCAAAAATGGACTTATCGTATCCGCTTTCTAATAAAAAGGAAATAATTAAATCTATTTTTCTAATAAAAACATAATTATTGAATCAACTCTCAAAAAGTATCGTAATTTAATAAATAAGTTTAAAAGTATCATATTTTAATAATTTTATTTAAAAATTATTGTATTTTAGTGATTAATTTGAGAAGGCGCGAAGGGAAGGCTATGAGGCATACGTCTCTGACATTTAGTTGGGGGGAGAGAGAAAATTGGATGCGATGGAATCGGGGAAAAATATAAAATGATAAAATGTTAATTTTTTAATCGTTAAATAAATGAATTTAAAATTATACAATACGATGTGTTTATTGAAGCTGCCTTTTTTTAATATTGTAGACTTTACACCATGATTTATATCTCACTTTACCGCTAAATTTTCTTACATTGTTTCTTATAATTATTTGAATGGATATCACACTACTACAAAACCAAACAACCATTTTCTTTAAACAATAAATGTCTATGTGCTATCAGATTTATTTGAATGTATAATATCAGACAATTAGCAATAATCGTGTATTTGAAGACACTATACAATATAAAAAATTAAATTTATTTTGTAATATTTATATTGTAAATAATAATTTATTTTTTTAATTGTGTAATTTTAAATTAAAATGAAGAAAGAGATAAGTGTGAATCGATGAAATTGTTGAAAATTGAATCATTCTCTCTCTCTTAAATTTTTAAACCTACATTTGTTCTCGTGGAGGCATTTTAGCCAGTCTCACAAAACTTTGTTTTCTCTCAGGTTTCCACACTTTTTTTTTTATATCTTTTTGTATTCCTTTACTTTTTCTTTTTTGGTCAGTCAGATTTCTGCGAAAGAAAGCATTGTGGCAAAATTGAAGCCTGGAAGGGGGAAGAGAGAGAGAGAGCATGTAAACGGTTCCCGTACTCAATGAGGAAATGTTCGTGTAATACGCAGGAATAAAAAAATTAAATAACAATATTAATAATAAAAATAAAAGTGAATAAATTAAATTTGAGAAGTTTAGACTTTTATTGGGCTTGGGGTCTATCTTTATGAGCTTGTGGATGTGATTTGAAAATCAATTGAAATAATTTAGTTTTTGGTGTAAGGAAAAATATCAGATAATTATAATAGAGTTTTAGAATTATAGAATTGGTTGTACACTAATTCTTTATTGCTAAGGGGATTTTAGTGTTATCAAGAATAGTTAACTCCTACACTTTATATTTAAATGAGTTTCCTTGTTGCCTTGGACGTTTACTAATATATATATTCTCTTTCCATAGTAATACTTACACACACGATAGAATAAGAGAAAGGAGGGAAAGACTAGGGTTTCAAGTAAAGAAAACGGAAGACAAAGAAAGAAGTGATTTAAAGAAGAAAGGAAGAAATGCAGGGCTTAGAAGAGAACGATATATATATATATATATATAAAGAGAGAGAGAAAAAAGAAGGAAAAAGAAAGAAATGAACTTGAATTCATTCGAGGTATGCATTTATTATTTAATTTATGAATTTTATATTTTATTCAATTACATATTATTAACGTTATCAATAGTGAATAAGAATATTTTATATATATGTTCATGGTAAAGAATAGTGATGAATGTATAAATGAGTTTTATTGGAAGTTGTTAATTTAAGTGTTTTGAGACCTAATATAAATTTATTATTTTTGAGACTTTTAAAGAATTTGTTTAATGTCTTACAAAGCAAAAACGAAAACAAAGGAGAAAGGAAGTATACAGGTTCCAGGTTCTCCCGTCGGAAGAAGAAGATCAAATCCGCAAAAAAAAAAAGTTTACAGAAAGTTTCCCTTTAATTTCAAAGAGTTTTATTTTGACCCTTTTATTTTTCTAAACTTAATTTTAAGTACCTTTTTATTTGGTAAGTTGCAAGAACAGAATTCTAAAAAATTTATGGCAAGCCCGAAAACAGAAAATTCGTTTTTCAAGAAAATTACACTTTTATCCCAAAAGTTTCAAATAATATGATTTAACTCTAGAACTTTATAAACTTTTTTCAAATAGCCCATAATACTTTCATACCCTATTACTTCATATTAGAAATGATATTTATATGTAAAAAATATATTAAGTATATATCAATGGGTGAGAAGTATAAAAATTAAATATATAATCGCGAAACGACGAGGTTAGGAAAAATAATTGACTGTTATATGTTATTTTGAATTAGGTGGTGATTGCATTGAAGTTGGTAAATAATGCTTTGAATCGGATTTTAGTAATTAAGGTGAATAGTTACTACTTCTTTTGAGAAGATTTTCTATATTAAATGTGTGGGTGCGTGCGTGTGAATTTTTCATATATGTGATATATGTGTTGATGTTTGGGATTGCAATTAAATGTTTTGCAATTGTGAATTGTTATACATGTGAACTTAAAAAACTTATGGTATGATTTTATGTCATTGCTTAAATGTGTTTTGATGATGAAAGAGAAATTTTGTGTGCGTTGAGACTAAAACAACATTTTTAGTGTGTGTGTGATGAAATCATGTTTTATGAGAAGGAGAGTGGGTTATCAGGTCCAAATGATAACGAGATTGTATACCGGTGTGGTCGGTATAGGGACGTGCACATAGGGGTCAGTTATCAGGGTAGTGATAACAAGAGATAGAACCAGTCATCAGGTTAGTGATGACAAGAGATGGGGCCAGTTACCAGGCTAGTGATAACAAA